TAATACCATAAAATTTCACAAGCGATGTACGTAAAAATTAGATGTCTCTCTTTATGAGATTATTATTATCCCGCTCAGTTATGAAATTTAAAATTTTATTTTTCCAGAAATCATCTTCAAACGTAAGACTAAGAAGCTAAAAAAAATTCAATAAAATATTATATTGCTGATAGTATTTGTTAATTCTTAAAAATTATTGTGCAGTTAAATTAGTTCACTTAAGATACGGAAAAATTATGCCACCTCTGTTCTTCCATCATATAACTTGTCCTGACCTAAGGTATCAATATATCGATTTAACTGTCAGTTAACACCCACAAAACATGTCACTGCGGTTAAGACATGCTTTTTAATGGTATTCTGCTGATGTAAGAAAAACAAGATTTTAAATCAAGATGTCGAATGTTCGAAAAAGGATAAAAAAAATTAATAAAATAATCAAAAATACTTTGCCCTTTCCTCTTCATAATAAACATAAACATTTAGACGTTAAACAATTTTTTCATCAAGTTTGGGGCCTTTTTTCATCATAGTATTTTTTTTCAGCGAATTAATGGAGATACATATTTTTAACATAATAAGATTAAGGGAAACATTCCTGTAAATTGGAAAAGTAAATAATATTTTACTTATTGATCAATTTAAAGAAAGCAGTTATATTATTTATCGGAGCATATTTTTAAAAAGTACAAGATTATTGATAATTTATTTGTTTTAAAATCATATATATACAAACTTTATTTATTCGTTCATTTCTGTTCGTCCATCATTCAGTTATTTATTAAACTGAACCCGTCGAACATACAACAATGTTGCAGTCGTTCTAAGAATATGTGAATAATACAGATAAGAAAACTAGTTGATTAATCAATCAGGATCCTTAAAATGGAAACAGATTGAATAACAACAACAACAACAACAATAATAATAATAATTCATATTTACGTTAAAATTGTTGTTAAAATAACAAAATTTCATATTTACGTTTTTAAAGAAAAAAACGTTAAATTTTCAGGAGCTTCGAAAAACACGTCATTCTCGTTGTAATTCCATCCACGTTCTCAAATACAAAGATCTTGTGGTAGGTGTTGGAATCTTCTTCGTGGTGTATTTTATCGGAAACAAGACATAAAACGAACTGGGTATAAGGGTATAAGGTATATAATATATTTGTATTTATTTGAGAGTGAGTCTTTTAGTTTTGGTATTCTGTGTAGCTATTAGTATTCTGTGTGGATTAGTGGCAGTCTGGAGAAATGGTCGTTTCGGCTCGGTAGTGGTAGTTTTGAAGTCAGACCGTGTTAGGGGCAATAAAAATATTAGAGGTAAGTATCGATCTGCTGTATTTTCACAGCCGTCAGAACGGCAGAAAATATAATTAGCAAATGACTTCTTAACTACTTCAAGTATGGCTGGTTTCTCAGCAATAGAGTATTTTGTTCCGCCCTCTCCTACTTTCCTCCTCCTTCTAGCTTAAAGGTGTGACCAGGTTCGGAGATTCTGGAGTGAACCTTGCTTTCGGCTAATATCAAACGTTTCTTTTTGTTAATTTTTTTATTTTTTATTTTTTTGATTGGGCCAAATTATTATTTTCCCGCGGTCCTTCCTTTTTAATTTTTGTTATAATGGGAGTTATGGTCCAGCAAACCTCTGGTGTTTTTCGATCTGTTTCAGTCTTCTCTTTTTCCTCTTTTTATTTGAGGGCTGCCTTTTTGTTAATTGAGAGAGAAGTATTTAGAAAGAGGTTTAGAAGGGGAGAGATGGGGGAGTAAGAGTTTTAAAGGAAAGCGTAAATGCCTTATTTTAATTTTAATTATTTTTTATTTTTGTTTATATATTTTATTTTTATATTTTGTTTTATTGGAACTGAAAACTAAGTAAGTTGCTGGTTGGGCCTAAAACTGCATCTTGTTTGCTTTTACTGATTCAAATTTGTTAATTATGATTTCAAAGTTTACATTTTTAGTTTCATTTTGTTTGGGATTAGGTACGATTTCTTCATTCGAAAGTAGAATTATTCTGTCACTGTCGAATGTTGCCAGATGATTTAGGGCTTAATACTTAATTAATGAACATTACACGACTAATTATTGGATCACCGTTCAGTTGCGCAATATACCTGTATTCAAATAAAAAAGAGATAGCTGAAATTTCTTAATGAGGAAGAGGAATTTGGAAAATCTGACACTCACATGACATATCGAAGGCAAAGGAGAGGGGTTGCAGAGAAATAAAATAATTTTATATAATAAAAAAGAAATGCAAAATTATATAAAAATAATTAAAAGTTAAATTTAAAAAAATAATACAACAAAGTTTGTTTATTACACTTTCTTTGTTTGGAGTGTTCTAAAAATATTTATTAATAGTTACTAACACATTTTTTAAATAAAATAAACTTCTATAATGAAGCCAAACGGTTAGTAAAAATAGTTTGTATACACAAAACTGTGTATATGTACAAATCAAATAAAGAAAATACCGCTAAAATGAAGCTAGATAGTTTATTAAAGATAGATGTATAAAATTTGGTTTTCAAATTTGTAAAAAAGAGACTCAAGTTTTATGGCTCCAAAACCCGCCTAAATAATATTTGCAAACATGTGTAGTTTAAAGAGATACATTTGTGATTTTTTGACCAATGAGGAAAGTAAGTTACGAACCTAGAGTATTTGGAACCGATTTGGGGCTATTTAAGAAGTTTGGCTTGTCTGACGAACAGAAGTTATTTCGGAATTCTCAAGATAGATGTCAGCTGGGAGCTGAACTTAGAAAAAGAAGAATGAGGAGGAGGAAGAGGGGCAGGGGATTTTCAGCATTCACAAGTATGACGACGAAAAGAAAGAATCTGTAAGAAAAAGAAAAAGAAAAACAGAAGAAAAAGATAGAAGAAAAGAGAAGTTTCTGCAAATTTATATAAATATTATCTTTTATTAGCAATTATATGCTTGTAACAGTTTGTCACTAAATTAAAGGTATTAACTCTGATTTTGAACTTTTTATGAATATATGGGATTTATCTGGATACGGGATAAATATAATATCGTTATGTCTATAAATATAATATCGTTATGTCTATAAAGATAATATCGTTTAAACAAACCAGAAACCTAGTGACGTCTGTGAATCGTCAAACTTCTCAACACCTTTCGACAGTCGAAGTAAGTAAATATTTTGTTGGTAATAATCTTAATTGTTTTGGGGCCCAACAGAACTTATCTTGCGCAAAAAAAATGTTGTGCAAACTTATTGTGTAAATTTTGTATTCTGTACTATTATTATTTTTTATTATATCTTTTAATAAATGTAAAATCCTTTCAAATTTCACACTGAAGTAAGAGTCTTTTTTTTTTCGTTTGCCCCGTTCATAATATTCGGGATAAGAGATTTGATGTTTTCACTTCTATCCAACCAAATCCATTTATGGTGGAACTTGGTAAAAAGACAAACGTTACTAAGAGCTACAAAAGACAGAAAGTTATGGAGAGCCATGATTACTCGAGTCCAGAAGGGACACAGTAAATAGAAGTTCAGTGGCGTAATGGCGCCCCTTGAAATGGCACCCGTACCCTATACCACGTCATTACACCATTTGTCAGTCGATGAGAAAACAACAAAAAAACTTCTTTTGTATCTTGAACATATCGTTGTTTATTGGCTAGAACTATTGAACAGAAATATATTGACCATTTAATGAAAATGCATCTATTATTCAATATCTGAAAATATTTTTGAAGTCGTTCACTAATTTCGCAAAAAGCTCGAATGTAAAACGTGCCACAGAATTATGGAAATATAACTCAGATATTAATATATTAAAGTTATTTCCCCTGATTCACCTTCAACAATAAAGTGATTTTTGATGAATATAGATACTGAGTATATAAAATAAAATAATCACACGAGATTTTAAAATATTCTGACCTCAAAAATGCTAATGCACATAAAATAACAAATAAGAAAAATAAAATTAATCGACTGAATTATTCACATTTCAAATTCTTTAAAGTTACAAATCAATCTGCCCTTTCTAGGAATCACCACAGACTTTCTAAAAAAAAAAACCCTCAAAAACACATTTTAAATAAATTTAAATGTCTTTTTTAAATTAAATTGTGTTTTTACTTGAAAGATAGTAGCTTAACGATAATTTGTAAAACAAAATTATTTCACGTTCTTAAATAAAGATTTTAAACATTTTAAAACCCCAAAATTAAAAACAAACTAACATCAGCCCATTTCGATAAGTGAATTTGATAGACGCTGACAAAAGTGTCTAATACTCTGTGCATTTCCTTTTAATACTTACACAAGACCAAATACACAGAACACATAATAGATATATGGTGGGAGCGGAAGTTGTTATAAGATAACTTAAACCACCACCATAAATTAAATATATTGATTTCTCTTTGTTTCTCTTTTTACACTAGATCAAATTTTATCGTGAAAAATATTTTCACAACAAAATTGCTTAATCAACCGAAGTTGGTAAAATTTTCAGAATATACTTCGTGAACGAAAAAAAAAACGGCAAAGTTTATTCAGTACTACTATAGGATGATATCTACCGTTCATTTTACATAGTATGATATTTACCAACTGTTGGAAGTTTGTTAGGGTAAGAAATTAGGGTTACGGTTAAAGGCAGTGAACCGTGAACTGGTTACGTAAAATCATTAACAATTTTTTATACAAAAATCATCAAATAACGTCTGCCCTTGATCACATGAATGGAATAGCGAAGGGCTACGATAGGCTATAACGTTACTTGGCAGCAGTTTTTATTGTTAAAACATTGATTTGCATTAAAAACATCTGAAATGGTGTAGATGATAATTTGCTTTCATTTCGCTGGCTGACTCTGTATATTTAAAACCCGTTAAGGCTGTACGCTCCCTACTGTACTGTAGACCATGTCATGTTGTCAAAAAGAGAAGGACACAAAAGTAACTGAGCGGCAGTGTAACATTTTCCATTATATTATCTTTACCATTCCCATGTTTCTATTTTCAGGTTTGCTCGATGTCCCAATTTGCATTGTTGTTGACAATGTAGATCCTCCATCACGACCGCAAACAAAATCTTCTCGGTTGTGGACCGGATCGCTATCCAATGTCGACCGTTTCAAAGGACTAAAACAATTCTACAAAGAGAAAGTTCTACCAAAACATGGCCCGCGTAAGTTCGAAAAGGTTTCATGTTTTTTCCTTATTTGAAAGAGTTTCCTGTTTTTTTTCTCGTCTTGTCTTGCAAATTCATTGAGATAAAGCTGAAAAGAAAATGGTTAAAATTTTAAATAAGAAATTAGCAATAGTAACAGTTTTGCTAACTAACAAATTCAAACAGCACAAGAAATTGTTTGTAAAACTAGCAATTCATTCCTATTAATCTCTTTTGCATAACTTGTATTCAGCAAAATGTTTTCCGTTCTGTGTTAAGTGTTTTATGTTTCTGAACATTTTTTTTAGAGACCAACTGTAACACTAGCATTTTGTGGTAGAGTAGTTTTCACAGTGGAGGCTTGTATTTTACTAAGTCGTCCTAAATTAGGTTCGACGTACAAAACGTTAGAAACTTGAAATAAGAGCTAATGACGCAGCAATCTAGTTGTGATGGTTGATACTTCAATGTCCGACATCGACTGACTCACTCAACACCACTGAGCCCAACTGGCGACCGCTACTACTACTACTACTTATTATGTGTGGGAGAGTCTATTAATAATAGAATAGGTACATTCAGGTATGACACACCTGCAATACAAACTAATAAAAACTATGTCGACATAGAAATTTAAACGAGTTTCTTATCGAAAGAAATTAGTTTATAATGTGTAACATCACTTTTTGTCTGAAATATTATATACTTTACTTTTCGGACCAATATGCTCATCTTCATTTTTATCCTCACAATATGGATTTTTGAATAAAGACATATTTTGTAACATTCCTTAATTTTCCTTTTCAGGGTTGAAGAGCAGCCATATAAAACATTTCTCAAATTTGTTAGCATGTTCCCTTTCTTATAAATAAAAACTTCATTTAGGTCCTTCCAATTTCTCTTAACCGTATAAATGGGTAAATACGTGTATCTACAAAAGATACTATTGAGGTCGCCCACATATATAAAATAATGGACGATTCCGTTTTGATCGCGTGGAAAGACGGAAAAGACATATCAGAGACGCTACTTGGTTTCATTGATTGATTGATTTTGATTGATTTGTTTTTTACGGCTTATCAACCTTTTACAAATTATTTAAAGTTTGAAAATATTTTTACATTGTAAAAACATTTTTGAGATAATAATGATTTAGGGATACACGTCTTACTAATTAATCCATAGCTGCGGGAGAAGAGGTGTATTCATACCTTTCCAAGAGTAATTGCGCGTAAATGAATATGATGAATCCAACTGCAATTGGAACTCAGCTCTTCGATTAACAATTCCGGATCATTATCCATTACACCACCCGCACATCCAAGCTTACAGCACCTGCTAGTCACAAGCACTTACCCATCTAGATACTGACCTGCCTGGCCAGTATCTAGATGTGTTACTTAACTTCGGTGATCGTACGGGAACCGGTGTTCCAACGTGATATGGCCGTAAGCCTTACTATGTTTCAGTGAGAAAAAGAAAGTGAAGAAGACGCGATAACACTCTCATTATTTTAACGCTGGTTTTCGTTGTTAAAGTTGTTAAGTTCAAAGATTTAAGGATGCAATGGGGGAATTTCTACTGATTTTATTGTTGTAGAACTCGCCATGATCCTTAACTTAAAAATTAAAATTCATAAAAATATTAGGAAAACCGTAAAATTTACACGGATATTTCTAGTGAATAACGCATTGTAAATAATTTGCTGCCAAGAATTCAAACTATTTATTTTCTAGTTGCCCAGATGGAGTCATGGCGTGAAGAACTACACAATTTTACCAATCAGTTAGGTTTCAGTCCAAGCTATGTACTGCCAGGACGCCTTCAAGAAGGCCTACCTGAAGCAAGATCCCGCACAGGGGCAAACATGTATTCGTCAGAGACAGGTCGTCTTATACCACCACCATCGAGAGCCATGTCTAGACAAGGGCCAAGGCATAGTCTTAAGGAAAGACTTTTCAACCAAATGTCAGAGCAGTCGTACCAAACAGAAATGGAAAACCAGGTGAGTTTCCTGAATGGAAAAATATTTGAATTTTCAATAATTCCGAATAACTTGATAGCTTTAAAATTTAATTGTTACTGTTAAGTTGTTAAATCACAATTTTAATTTTTAGTTTGCAAATCAGTCGGGGATTTGAAATGAACTGTTCGCAAAAAACTATCTGGTGCTGGATAAATTGGATCATGAAGTTGATTAAAAGAGTCATCATTTTATTGATTACTGTTGTATAATTCTAACCAATCTAGTAAGGCATTTTTGAAAATTATCTCCCGCCTTATCTTTTAGGTATTAACCATGTTGTGTCAGATTCTAAATACGGATGATGTGAACACTGTCCAAGGTTGGTTAATGTGTGCTGGAGACAAAGGTAATCATTTCAAGAGATAAATTATTATCACCGCTATATTAACTCTATTTAGATCTTTGTTTTTAATCATGTCGAAGTACATTTTATACTGATATGCCATTTTCTAAATATCTTGCAAAATTTTTCTTGCAACTCAAAAGATATTGCAGTTTGCTTTTAACAACATTTTTACATAAGCAAAAATCTTCCATAAGCAAATATACATATGTACACACGAAAACATGAACAAATAATGTTGAGGTATTCCGAATATGAAAATAGGTGTAAGAATATGAAAGAAATGAAGAGAAGGGCAGATAACTCTGCTTCAATTGAATAACAAAACAAAAATCTTTATTTGTATATAGACTCATCTCACCACTGGAGTACGAAGGGAATGAGGCTGATTCGCTACAAATTGCGTGTATGGTGGGTCTTAGCCGTGGAGTTTATAATTAATGGAACTAAGAAAATGTAATTCATCTGAACACTTTCCATAGCGATAGAATAACGAGTTGCTTGCGACGTTTTGTCTGTAAGAAAGGAATTTTAGGGTGGAAAATAATTCATCACCCAAAAGGACGCGAAAATGTTTTTTTTTGGGTTCTGTTGAGACTGGAAAGTGAAGCCATTGCATTTCATGTCAATATATATCAGCAGTAATCCATTTTCGGTTTGAATAGTCTCTTGTAAAGGTAGAGGATAGTAGGAGGAGGGTTAGGTACAGGGAACCGACCATTTCTCCGACATCTTTAGCGATAGCTCTTATGTACGAGTTTTACTTGAAATCTGGGTTGAATTCCCAATAGACACTCAAAACAAGAGACCTCCATGAGAAAGCCCCCAAACATCGCGATAGGTGAAAATTCAGGGTGCGCTCCATGATGAGAGAACGCTACTAGTTTGGATTTTGAAGCATTGAATGTAACCAGACAGTTTTTCTCTTACTGAACTCTTAGAGTTAAGCCAGATTAGAAATCAACTGACAAGCTCTAGTCACTTGGAGTTTGAAGTTGTATATATATCGTTATATATATATCGTTATATATATATCGTAATATCATCAGTTTTTATATCCCCAAATGATCGGAGTTATATTCTTAATGTAGATTATTTATGTAAGATAGAAAGAGGTTAGAACTGAGAAGAGAAATTTGTAAGACCCTTGTGTTGATCACTTGGGGCCTCGGGGGACTGGACATTAACAACTACCTTCAGGCACCTACCCGTTAGGAAAGACTTGATAATTGAAAAGACTCTTCGAGTGATTCCATAGCTAGAGAGTTTGTGTAGTAATACTCTATGCTACGCCCTGCCAAATGATTTTGAAATATCTAATACGATCGTCTTTCACATGTATTTGTCGTCTAGTGCCTTACCCGATTCAGTAAGAAATGACAGATGTAAGTTAAATGAAGTACATAATAAATATCTACATAAAAAAATTTATTTGTGAGGATTAGAAGATTCAATTCATTGAAAGGTGTCCTTTCTTTACCCAGAGCGCACTTTAGTGAGTGAGTTAATCAAGGCAGCAATTGGTAGTCAACTGGAAGAGGCTACCCGTCCACCGGAAATAGCTGATCATAGATCCAAACCAGAAACCTCACTCCCACCAATCATGGAAACAGGAAATATCGAAAATGGCCAGGTAGAGAATAAAAGGACCACGCACAAAGTTGATAGGTATTTACACTTTTTTTTTCATAGAAACGTTTGGAATCATTACTTTTTAGCATTTTTTCTGTCTAACTTCCCGTTATTCTATGATTTTTTCTGTTCAGTTACTTTTTATTTATGTTGGTGGCATTTATGTGGTTGAAACAGCGACGACTTTACTTCCAAGACTATTAATATATATCATACGAAAGGCTTTATCTATGTTAGGTTGTCTATTTTTCCTTTTATAATAATGCTCAATGGGAAATTTCATGATGCTATTTCTGACTTTATGTCACTGGTTGAGACCAGAAATGAAATAAGTTTACAACAGAAATCAAAGGAAATAATAATAATAATAATAATAATAATAATAATAATAATAATAATAATAATAAATATTTGCAAATAATTATAAATTCTATAAAAGTTGTTTTCATATTGAGTGGAAGTCGCCGAAGGGAACATTTAAGCGAGTTAGCATTCAGATAGAACCCAGTGTTCTATATGCTGATTTTCAAGTTAATCTGGTTATCTTCATTTGAAAGAACACACCTTTCCTATCCTCTTCCTCAGCATACGTATTTGTGTACATGTAACATCTGTAGTACTTACAAGAGCTACCTATCTCAACCTGTCCATATAAAATTACCACAGAAACGAGAGGGATTTGTTCAGGAACAAAACACCTGGTTTCCAGCATCACCTTTCATGGTAGTTCCTTATCAACCATTTGCACGCTGATTAAGATAACTTCAAAATTCCGGAATACATTTGATGCGCATGCGCTAGGAAAATAATTATCAAAAGTGAAAAAAAAAAAAAACAACAAAAAAAGAAACAGAAATTATGAAATCAAAAAGTATAAATGAAAAAAGAGAGAGAACCGGAAGCGGAAATTAGTCAGAAGAGAAACAGAAATTATACATCTTCAGGTCTCTGTTAAACTGACTTCATTATATTTATGTACCAATATCCAGACACAATATCCAGTATCAATGATAAATTTCTTCCATTGTTTTGATGTCCTGATGAAATGTTTTTCCTCGCTTAACGTTTACATCAACCATATCTTCAATTAAACTATCCAAATGATTGAATAATAAAAATGTATTTTAATTCTCACATTAAAACCAATGCCATTGTACCAACTCATTGGATGCAGATTCTTAGCACTCACATCACCAGATATACCACCTTAATTGCCGTAGATCCATGTAATCATTTCACCAAATATATCAGGTATTTATCTCGTCAGTCACGGTCCCTGATACGCCAACTCTATTCCCGTAGTTCCGGGGCTATCATGGTAACAAATATACCAGGTATTTTATCCTGGTAAATAATAACAGCAAATATACTACGTCTTTTGGTCTTTGGTAACCCAACTTGCCTCTATAACGGTTCACAGATCTGACCTCAAATGGTAGGATTTTCTTTTGAAAACGTTGTGTATCTCATAGCAGAATTGAATTCCACTGTAGGACTGTGGTAACTCTTTTCTCCAGGATTCGGACTCGGATGGTAATTACAGATGTGAGGGTAAACGCTAAAGAAAATCATAAACACCGTTGTCAAACTCACCGACGAATTTATTACGATAATGTGAGTATGTAACTTTGTAACATTAGTTAATTTGTGGATATTGCCCTATGTTCGACTGAAGGGTGAATCGTGGCAGCAATATTATTTCGATGCTATTCATCAAATAGTAATCCTAGGTGAGACCGTATCGAAAGACTTTAATTTCATCTCTTTTGTGTCGATCTCATTGCTAAAGGCTCTTTGTGTGTTGGTCGAAATCTTAGCTGTTCTCTGGGAATTCCAGGCTGTTCTTTCGATTTTATTCATAGAAAGTACAAAATTTAAATCCTTAATGAGCGTTCATATTTGAAGTCCATCGAAAATATCTGCTTTCATTTTTATGTTAAAACAGTATTATACTCTGCTTCAAATTAGATCTCTTTCTGATTCACTCCACATCAAAACCTGTCGTCCGGATGTGAACACTATCAAAGCAAAATTAAATAACAAAAAAATAAAACAAAATAGTCGCTCTCTACGCATGAGTTCCGAGAATCGCATCCGCCCCACCCTAAAAATATAAAATACAATTTAAAACGCCGGAACCAATCACGAACGTTGCCGCTAAAACAAAAGCATGAAAAAAACGCTGAGTCATATAACCACTCTAACTGCTTAAATGGACCCGTTCAGCGACATCCAAGGCAGCTAGTCACAGAGTTTACTAGTGGCATACAAGTTTCAACAGCAAGCCCATAGTAAATAACCGACTCCTGCATCCTCCAGGTTGCGTCCCTCATCGACAAAGTGACATTCTGCCTTAATCCTTTATACCAGTAATACGGAGAATTTTCTTTTAATCTTCTTTTTTTTTCGTCTCACTGGCAGTAATTTATTGTTTTTTGTTTGTTCTCTTGCAAACATTCGCGGTTTGTAACAATGGGTAAAATATTATGTTACCCTAGGTAATTAAAAATGATTTTAAATCTGGATAAGTTGTCCTTCTCTCTAGTGGTCAAGTCAGGCAAATATTGAGAATTAAACTATGAAAGGTAAATTTTCTAGGTCGAACTAAATAAAATACAAAAATGGAACAGCTTTATTTATTTATTTTATTTAATATATACACGGGGACAAGTGAAATAGTCAATGTTCTTTTTGGTTAGCTAGAATTATTTACGTTTTAAAAAATCTTTGTAAATTTATTTATTTATTTTATTTACTGTATATATATAGTACCACCGGAAGCAAATATTTTTAGTCAATGAAAATTGTATTGAAAATTTTGCAGATTAATCTTGGAGACACCGCGTCCCATTACTGGAATGCAAAAAGGTCTAGAAGAAAATTCTATTAGAAGATCAAATAGAAAAAAGCAAGAGATTATTGAATCAACTACACCTGCCGTTTATGAATCTCAAGATAAAACAGGTATGTGTTTATATCTGAATATAAATAGAAAGATAGATTTAGAAATACATACAAATAATTATAGAAAGAGACAAAAATAAATGTTGATATTTTAGAATTATGTAAAGAACGACAGCGAGAAGGTATTTTTATAAAATTTATAAAAATGTTTTTACCACGCACAGATAAAAGAATGACACACTATAAACGTACGTCATTCTTTTATGCTTGATAAAAACAATTTCCATGTTTACACAATTAAAAACAAAGATTTATTTACGCTATATATCACTAATGAATTTAATTTATTCTTAATCGATATTAAAATAGCTTCATTATGTCCTCGGGGGCGTCTAATTAAAGAATACCTAAAGTAGGTACCTCCACGAGATCGCTAAAAAAAGAGCATAGCATGATGAAAAAGACGCTAAACTTGACGAAAACAAAATTTTATCGTTTAAATGTTCGTGTTATTATTAAGAGGAAAAATCAAAGTATTTTGGGGGTATTTTTTTACATTTTTTAATCGTTCCGAGCACGTCCGAAATTTTCGTTAAAAATCTTGTTTTTTTTTTTGTCAGCAAAATTGACAGATAATCGATCATGGCGTACATTTTTTTCCATTTTATAAAAAAGATGAAAATCTCAATTTGAAATTCTTTTAAAAATCAATTATCATTTATTCAAAACTTATTTTAAGAAAATGAGAAATTATAATGCTTATTAAAATATATTTTGAACCAAGCTTAACTTAGCTTCTGCGCGAAAAAGAGAAAATAAAACAAAGCAGGTCATAACCTTTCGCGTCACTTAACAGGTGTTGAATGACGTATTGACGGATTACGTGATCATAATTTGTTCTACGGAAGGCGAAAAATGAAGTTATTTAGATTTAAGTAAACAAATTATTTACCTCGTTATTTTTAAGGAAAACTTCCAACGCTCTAATTTTTTTTTGTACTTAGATTTTACCTTTACGTTTACGATGCTTTATGGAAAACATATTATAAAGAAATTAAAATAAGACTGTTAAGAGTGAGATTAAATTTCATATTTCATGAGAAAGGTATCTAATTAATTTATAGGTACCTTTCTTATGAAATTTTATCAGAAGTGTACATAAAATACCATAATTTTATGTACATTTATTACATTTTACTGTGTTATTTGTATTTCCATTCATTTTATTATTAATTCTGATATTTCATTTATAGAAAAATGTCATAACTGAGATTAATATAAAAATAAGATCATATAAATTTCATAAGATCATACTGATACTTGTAGGTACCCTTCTCAGTTGAAATTGAAAAATCAAATTAACTTTTCTACACGTGTTTCGCAAAAGTAACGGCCTTAACAGCGGAGAACAATGCTTAACTGAAATAACGCAACTTAATTGTATTCTGGTTGGTCTTCCGTAATTTATAATTACAGCCCGATTATAAACACAAAATTATATTTCTTAATTACTGCGGATCTTCAGATTAGTCAAAACTATACAATTTGCAATGTAGCAAAAAAGATCTATCTCATAAAGACATTTACGAAAGTGGATGCGGCTTTTAACTAATTTCATAATATTTTAACAACTTAAATGTAAAAATCTATTATAATTAAAGAAATAACAAATAATTGTATTAAAAATTCATTTTTCATCGAAAGAAATTTTTGCTTTCAGAAAATAATGTGCATATTCATAAAAACAAATAAAAGCAAATAAAAGCATTTGAAATTAAATAATATCTTTGGTTTATTGATTTATGTATGTTACAATTCAGAGCTGATTTTCAGGTAGGTGGGATCCAATTAAAAACAAAAAATAACATGATTTGCATTCCGCAAAGCCTTGTGCTTTTAACTATTGTAATCACTAAACCCGATGCGATCAAATTTCTAGCGTTTTCATAAAATTAGTTAAGGTGTAGGGGGGTAATAAATATAAAAAATATTTCTGCCATGACTTTAATAAAAAAAAAAAATATTTATAATAATTTCGATCATCTGTGAATAGTTTCTGGAAGTTTCATTAACATCCGACAATTATTTTTATTTTTGCAAGATTTTCCAAATTAATGTTTGTCATACAAAAAAAAAAACGTGATAAAAATTGTATATGTCACAAGGTAACCAAAAAAGTTCTGTCCGTTTTTAAAGGAAAAAAAAAACGCTTCACAGTATGTGTAACTGATATTTAGACTTCGAAGTAATCGCCATCGGCATCCAGCACCTTCTGCCAACATGTCTCCAGCTGTTCAATGCCCTTGCCGTAGAACTTGGGGTGGGGGTTGACGCAAAGAAGTCCGTGAGGGCTTTGCGCAAGTCTGCTTCATTGGTGAAGGGTTTCCCACGAAGATGATTATCCAGGGAGTTGAAGAGGTGGTAATCGGTGGCACAAGGTCAGGTGAATAAGGTGGATGGCACAAAGTCTCCCACTCAAGTTGCTGTATGGTATCCCTGACCACTCGCGCGACATGCGGCCTGGTGTTGTCATGGAGGAAAAGCACACCTTTGCGATTCACCGGTGCTGGCTCCTTCTGGCGCAATGCCTGTTGCAAACGTTTCAATTGCTGCGAGTATAGGTCTCCAGTGACCGTTTGGCTAGTTGGTAGCAGTTCATAATGAACCACTTGACGACCTGTCCACCAGACACAAAGCATAATCTTGCGTGGGTACATAGGCGGTCTTGCGGTGTGAGAGACAGCATCCTGAGGAGACAAACAATGTCTGGAGTTTCGTACAGAACCCACTTTTCATCACTGGTAAGCACTCGATTGAATAAGGATGCGGTACGGTGGCGAGAAAGCAGAGATATGCAGGCTGCCACTCGTTGTCCCTTGTGGACCTCCAACAGTGTTTGCGGAACCCACTTGCTCAGTTTGTACGTCTTACCTAGGCGGTGCAGGTGAAGTCTGTTTCATTGGAAACGTTGAACTGTCTTGCAAGTTCACCACACGTTAGACTACTGTCCTCTTCAATGGCCGCCTTCAGGACTCCGTCATTCAAGACCTGTGGTCGTCCACTGCGAGGTTCATCATGGAGAGACAAATCTCCCGACTTGAATTTTCGAAACCAACGCCTTGCAGTACATTCATCCACAGTACTATCCCCAAACGCTTGACATATGCGGCGACTTGATGCAGCTGCTGATAAGCCCACTTTGAAGTCGTAAAGCAAACAGCCCCGAACGAGATCTCTAGACAGTTCCATCCTTCTCACAGCTGTCCGGCTTATAACTGATAGCCGGACACGGTGCGCATGTTTTTCTATAACGTCTGATGTTCCTACTTCCGGCTGTCCAAATTTGAAAACAATTGCTACACGCATTTTGTATATATTTCAACTTCATTCAATGACTAATCAAAAAACGGACAGAACTTTTTTGGTTACCTTGTATTTTACTAGTTCCAGTGATACAAAGAGAAACAAGATTTTTTTTTAATCAAAATTTAGAATGTTCTAAAAAGATGGTAAAATTTTTAAAATAATTAAAATAAACTTTGGTCTTTCCTCCTAGTAATAACATAAGCATTTAGACGATAAAATTTTGTTTTCGACAAGTTTGGCGTCTTTTTCATCATGCTATGTTCTTTTTTTACCGATTTCGTGGAGTTACCTAACCTAAAGTTCCATTGAAGCGGACTCCAAGTGAGAATCAAATGAGAAGCAGTGACAACGGAAATGAAAGTGATAGAAGCAATTGGGTGCTGGGAAAGAGAGGAGAAATATATTGATTCGTCTTCTCTACTCTCCAAGGCCTAATATAGACATATGATTAGGATATCCGTGATATTCTAACGACTTTAAAGAGACGGAAGAACTAAAATAACATAAAGGGATGAACTCGAGAAATAAGTTAAAACAATATATAATAATATATATATAAATATTTTATTCACAAAACATGTGTACGTACACACACACACACACACATATACATATATATATATATATATATATATATATATATATATATATATATATATATATATATATATATATATATATATATAATTATCCACAGAATTATTTTAATTATATATAAGAAGGCAAGCAGTATGTGAACGGGAACGAATAAAAAAAAAGTCTTATTTGTAACGTCTCCAAGAGAGTCGCGGTACAAATTTTCTGTATCTCTTCGGTTCCTCTTAAGAACAACACATCGGACGTGCGTCGCCCGCCGTGGGAAGCCTGGAAACGACTATTTTCACCAACAAGCTGTCGCGTGACTCTCAAGAGCCCCTAACGACATCAGTGTATTATTCCTATGTGACATAGAGAGAGAGACCCCACCACCTTGAGGTGGATTTAGTAATCAACAGTGCTAAAGAATTGGGATGAAGGTGCTAATTACTTGGGTAGAAGGGATTCCGGAGTAATTCCAGAAATAAGTTTATTTTTTTTCTTGTTCTTTCTCTTAATAATTGTTTCTGGGGTGAGTTATTAGTTAATTAAATGTAATAATTCCAGAGTGATTAAGAGACGGATTCGTTAAAGTAAAGTTTGTGATAAATGGCGAATTGGACTTTTGGGTGGTCTGAATGGCGGAATTCAACCAGACGGGATAAGTGGTTTTGGCAAAACTTAAGTAGACGTTGTCTGCGGAAGATCCAGCAGGAGGTCCAAATCCGATTTTAGTATCTCTTGAAAACTGGGTTCCCGTTGAGTTTCAGGGACCGGAAAAGCTTGCATGGTGGTCAAAGGCGATTTGCATATTAAAATTCGAGGGCGGTGCCTAAAGATGGTTTAGCTCCGCCTCTCTATATATAAGCTGCCCGCACGCTTGTGTTAGTCAGATCGCAGAAACGGGGAGAGAACAGAGTGGCTCATAGAATGCGGCAGAACGCGGAAGAGACGGCCTGTTGGAATTTGCTGGTCCGGTTGGTTGGTTGGTTGGTTGTCACGCGCCCAAGAGGTCCGATCCGAACCCAGAAATTCAAACAGACCCTGTATGAAACCAGTTAATTTTGCCAACAAAGCCGAGAAACCAAACTGCTATAATTAATTACACGCTCCGACGAAGATCCCTGAATTACTTCCCTTAGATCAGCCGAAATTGTTTAGGCAGAAATTTTCCTACTCTCTCTCTCTCTCTCTCTCTCTCTCTCTCTCTCTCTCTCTCTCTCTCTGTCACTTCCGACCCCAAACGAGTGAACCTCGTTACGACATTTTGTACTCTTGTAAATTCTTCGGTAGTGACATAAAAACAGTGACCTGAAAAGGGCTCTTTGTACAGGAACCGAAAGAGTTGCTTATTTTTTTCTTTTTCATGTCTTTGCGGCTACAACAAGAAACTTTTTTTGCATGAATAGTGATTTCCTTTCAGCGTAATACCCAGCCATTTCCTCCCCTTCCTACCGGACCGTTCTGGGGAGACCGATACACTGCTGTTCGGATCAAGAATTCACAACGTGGCGAATGGTGGTGGTTCCTTCAGTTCACCGGGGGGAGATCGGGTGGATTCCTTTTTCGGCCAGAACCACCGGGGAGACAGGACATAGCTGCAACAGACAGAGTTTATTACGTTAGACCTATCAAAAGAGAAATAATTACTTTCTGCAAACCAATTATTAAATCCCAGCCACGACTTAAATTCATGGTTGATATAATTCGTAACGTTTAAACATACCTAATATTTGCATGAAATAATTTCGATAAAAGATACGTCACAAAAAATATGACGACACAAACAGAAAAAGACTTTGCATGATGAGCAGCTCAAGAAAAAAACTGTTATATCTGACCTGTTGTAAGTAGCTTTGCTGTAAATTGTATATAATTTTGAGTAACTGTGTTTTAATGATACCTCGTACAAATTTGTTTATATCTCGGGTTGATTTGCTTGCTCTCATTTTAGCTTTCTCTTGCCTTTTGTTCATTTTGCTGTGGGAATGCTGGTTGTGTTTAGGCATGTTTTCCCACAAAAGGAATCGAATGTGAGCCTGGATAATAAACGAAAAGTAACAACAAAACTATATACAAACAAACGACACTGTATGTATTAACAAAACAAAGATATACATAGACAATAAATGATTGTTGCGTGTAACAAAACAATGAATATGAAAGAAAAAAACATTTAAACGAGAGAATGTGTGTGTATGTGTATGTGTGTGTGTGTGTGTGTGTATTACGTTTGTGTAGAAATCCGAGAGAAAGTGAAGTAAACGTGCGTTCCCCGGCAGGAGACACATTTGTACTTCGTGCGAACTACATCTTATTGTCCCAGAGAAAAAGCGGAAAAGAGAGGATGACAGAGAATGTCACTGTCAGTTTATAGACAAGAGTGTCCCCTGGCGACGATTTTTAGTAAAGTTAAGTGGGGTAACATTTTTTCCTGTTTTCTTCGGCTTGTTTCTGTTATAAAAGAAAAGGAAAGGAAGATGAAAAATACCTAATTTTTCCAATCAAAACAAAGTAGTAAACTTAACACTTCGAGACAGAGAGAAAGATAGGATCTCATTCGATCCCGAATTTCGTTTATTTATAATTTATTATTGGATGACTGGTCTATTGTTAATCATCTGTATATATTTTATTGAAAATTGTTCAGATATTATAGATAGATAGTTTAGGTTCTCAGAGAAAATGGCATATTATGATGATTGAGAAAAATGTGAATGATTAATGATTTTGGTGCATGAAATGGTATTGTCAATCTGATTGTTAACACGTTACTTTGTATAAGTTGTATATGACAGCCATTTTGCCGCTAAAATTAAAAGAGATGAGTAGCCGAGAGCACAGAGAAGAATTTGACATAAAATGAAATTGCTACAAAACTCATTATTGTGATTCATCAGTGGACAAAAAAAACAAAACAGAAATTCAATTAGAATAAAAGAGAGGTAAATTAACATTCGATTAATTTATTTACTTTTTTTTTTTTTGATAGTTTATGTTTTGGTGATTGTTTAGTGTGTGTTGAATATGGAATGAGAATTGTTCATAATGTGGGAGCATCATTATCAATTTTATTATCTTTGAAATAAGGCCGTAAAATGTTCTGATGGTGGCCTCATGGTTGCGAGAGGTACGGAGTTTGTAGTAGGTTGAACGTTGTAAGTAAAATTCTCTGTTTTTTTATAACCTTTGGGGAGAACAAAAAGTCTTAAAGTAAATATATTTTACCTGACTTTTGATTAATTCAGAAAATCACGTGACGTGTCTACTGCTACATCTACATATGAATCACCGGAATTGTACAGTTTTATGGCTTTGAATTGATGTTACCGTTTTTTGAGAGGATATTACTTTTTTGCACATTTTTTAAATACAAACTAAGCTTATTCTTAGCTTCGAATAAATAACATTTTACGCGGAAATTGTGAAAGTAATTCGTAAGATGTTTATGCCTTTATTACAAAACCATTCATCGGACCTTGAACCCTATTCCAATAGCAATAGCAACCCATAATAAACCTTATCATCAGCAGCTCTGGGGTATAAAAACACATGAACCCTTAAAGTAACTCTCTCTTCCCGGTTTTCAGCTTTCGAACTGTGCGAAATGAACTTTTCACACTGAAGCTAAAAGGGCTGTGAACGCTTCGCCCACAAACACCAACACAGTAAGCCCCACTCAAATATATTCATGAAGATTTCGTAGTGTATGCAATTTACTTGTAGGAAAAGAAACTCTTGTTTTAAACTTTCCTTTTGTTAATTTTGTTTAATAACTGTTATCTTGCATTGCAAATCAATTGGTCTGTTATTTTGTGCATGTACCTTTTTTTTACCAACATTATTTCATGTACGATAAAATATTCCTGAAAGAAACCTTACATATTAGCTATTACACTAAAATAACCATTACTCGTTAATGTAATGGATGGTTTTACATTTTTTACAGCCTTGGACACAATAAAGGCTCCAGTAACAGAAACCTTTCGACGAATGAAACAGGTTCCAGTCGAAAGACTGACAAATCCAGATATCAAATCCAATGGACGCCAGCATGAAATTACGTTGGCATCTCGGGACAACCAATCACAGCCCAAGATGAAATATTCAAAAATATCTCATGGCCGAAATGTGGAGTCACATAATCATCAGCCAGCGTTCAAAAGCAATGAAGCCTCGAAGGAGTGGAATCAGGAAATGTCAGTTGACAAACATACGATTTAGATGAAGTTTTATGGTGGAGATGGGTTTTTTTAAAAAGTTTGATTTTTAAGGAAAAATAAAGTTTTACATTTTTACTCGATAGGTTGCTTGCCACTTTGCACCGGACATCAACTTGGATTCTTATTCGTTTGTTGAACCAATTCCAGAAATGAATCAATATTTTGCTAACCTTCATTTTAAGGTCACCAGAAGTTTTCTTAATATCTTCCTTTTTTTTCTTTCTTCTTGTATCAATAAGCTTAGCTTCGTATGGCACAAGACCACAAGGTGAGGCACGCAATTTGGATAAATGTTACTACAATAGGCCTCGAAGCAGGCTTCTTAGATATTATTCCCTCTCTCAATTGGTAATGTTGACATTCTCATATTTCTTTCTTTCCAGTGATGTTTAAAAAGAACAAGTATTGTTGAATTAAAATATTCATCAATACTAGTTGTTAATTTGTAGATCAAACTTAACTTATTGTTTCAATAGAGGCGTTTTCTATAGATCGAGTGATATATAATGAAAGGGTTGCACCGCTAATGATAAAAACAAGACTGGAATTTTCATTATGTCATATTTTATTCACTCCAGTATTTCGTCAGTTAATCTCAGCCAGTCTGTGGCATACGAGCGGCTCCGGGCGTCTATTGTCCAATACGTGGACATTATGTTCTCGGTCTGAGGCGTGTGAGAGACTGTAGTTGAGACTAGATCCAGGACATCCTTCTGGTGCACCCAGAACCCTGACGCCAAATGTAAATTTGAAGCCAAGCCGATTCCGTTACAACACCACAGTTACTCTTGCAAACCATTGCAATGGATAGCCTTTGTTGTGACCTTGTGCCAGACTAAAGTAAGCTTAGTAAGTATCTTCCGTTTCAGCAAAATAAATCTGTACGACACTAAACTGCCAATTATCCTAATCTTTCTTAAGTCACCATTATCATCTAAACGTGTCTTCTGCTGTTGCTGGGACGATTTTCTGCCGAGTTTACAATTGCTTACTAGTTTACAAATTATCATCATAACACTTTGCTCGGATGAATATTGAAGCAGTCAGAAAATTGATATAATGATGTCTACGATATAACGAAGATCAGAGCAGGTGATTAAACAAAATAAGCACATGTCAGAGGCACCAATAGAGATGAGGGCATTAAAAAAAAGAGGCAACGCGGGTTTTTCTCCGGAAAGTATTTTTATGACGACATCATATTTGGAAAATTTGTCTAATATAGGTGCATCGCCGATTATCTGGTAATGGATGATGGCCCGGCACATCTTTTAATCTGGATAAGATTACGAGCAAGCCTTTGAATTTCACACGATTGCCAGCCTAATTCACCGGGCGGCTAGATAAATTTCTTTATAATTTTCTATATATTTATTTAAATTTAATATTTCTATATCTCACCTCCGTAAGGTTGCCTCTCTGTGTCTTTTCTATAAATACTTTCATGTAATTTTTCGGATGAGCTCTTCATACCTAGACTTTTTGAATTTAAGTGTAGTACTGTTCTGGCGTCGAGATCTCATCAATTTATTTGAGCTGTCTAGATGTAGCCGTAAGTTTCTTTTCTCGCACTTCTCGCTTGTTGGAACACCGTTCTGGTTCCATGCTTTCCAGCTAACTTTAATCTACTGTCTTTTTCTCTTCCCGCTCATTATTAATGTTTTTCTTCCACACCCTGAAACCCATAGTGTCTTAGTGGCCTTACTGCCATAGATGGGGCGATACCGACAAAACAAACAGTCGATGATGCCGTAGATTGATCGATTCGTTTTTTATGGCTTATCAACCCTTTGCAGGTTACTTAAACCCAGAAATATGTTTAGATTGTAAGGATTTTCTATAGAAATATATTATTATTTTCTATGGAAATATATTATTATGTTTAGTGATACAAGTTGGGAGGTGGGAGATGTGGATTCATGCCTTTCTCAAGGGTATTTGCACATAAGTGAATATAACGAACCCAACGGGAATTGAGACTTGGCTCTCCAATTAACAATTCCAAGCCATTATCTATTGTATCACCCGCGCATTCAAGCTTACAGCCCCTGATATTTCCAAGCGGTCACCCATCTAGATACTAACTAGGCTCGACGTTGTTTAATTTCGGTGATCTTACGGAAATCAATGTTTCAACGTGACGATGCTGTAGAGTTGCATAATTAGTGAATCAGAAGGGTATTATTGAATTGCTATTACGTGATTTCTGTTGATCCGGCAACATTGATAATCCGACATGGTTCTGGAGCAAAGAATGCCTGATAATCAGTACTTTACTTATAATAGACGAGTATAAAACAATCGTAAAAATAAAAACTATCCTATTTTGTTCCTTAAGGATATTTTTGTAAAGATCTTAAACCAATGGAACGATACCTCTTTTTTAGACTATTAAAAATGGGTTGCTTAATGGAAAAGATTTCATTTACACCAATATTCACTCGTCATTTACTCTCGACCAGTCTGTGGTATGTGATCGGTTCTGGATGAAAAGGTCTTTAAAAAAAGAAAAAAAAAGACGTTTAAAAATTTTTAGAATGTCCGAAATGATCTGCTCTTGCAGTATCTTGCAGGCGGTTCCCAGGTGTCACTTCTCGGACCAACCTCTTTTTGATTTACATAAATGTTCTGCCTGTGAATACACTCAAATCATTTGTAAACATCTATGCCGATGATACGACGATGTACGGGTGCATCTCTAAAACTCTTGGTGATCAGAGATTGGCAGCTAATCTCTTATCCGATCTAGCAGTAAGTTCCAGGGGGGGGGACTGGTTACATTCAGTGTCTCGAAAACCAAACTAGTTATATTCCATTAGCCCCGATCGGACCCCGAACTATCGCCATTCACGATGTGGAATGTCCCATCGGGGAGGCTCCGTGCTTTCATAGTCTACTGGGCATTAAACTCACAGCTGACTTCAAGTGGAACCATCATAAAAGAGGCAGGAAAATGATCGGCTCCCTGTGCAGCTCCAGTAAGTTCCTGATTCTTCATGCTCTCCTCTTCCTTTAAAAGAGCCAGATCAGGCCTAAAATGATTAGAGTAATGTTGCCATATTTGGGTGGGAGATGTGCCTAGTGATCACTTTCCAGTCTCGATAGAGTTCAAAAGCGTCTCTAAGTCCTTGTAGATGAAAAACTAATTTCCTCCCTCCAACCTCTCTCTCTCATAGGCGAGATTTGACAACCCTCTCACTACTCTATCGCTACTTCCATGGAAAGTGCACCGGACGAACTGTCTTTGGTTTCGCTAGTTTTAACGTTCACGGCTGGGACTTGACATGCCACTCACATTGTAGTAAACACCTCACATTCACTCCGTATTTCATTGGTATTTGGTAAGAAGTAAGTTCCACTCGAACAGCTTCTTCCTGCAAACCACTGCTCTGTAGAAACAACTCCCAAGAGGATGTTTCCACAATCACTACAATTAACCTGTTCAAGTCTAGGGGTATTTCCACTTCTATTCGAATAAACCGCCTCTTCATGTAACCCTCTATCTCGAGTGCTCCCGTCCCGACCTTGTGACTCTTACTGTAAAACATCAACGAACAAATATGAATTGAGAGAAGTAAGAAATAATTTCACAGAATTTGTCATTACAACATAAAGAAGTAGCTATTTTAATATTGTGTATATTTAGGCAGCATATTTTCATTCAAACAGGTTGGGTTAATAAATGTCGATTAGTTTTTATTTGTGATCCTTACAACGTACAACGGCAGAAACGCGGTTGATATGACAATAAAGATGAGAACAACAGTCCGAACGATATAAATAGTAGATATTTTAATAATGTCAGTACATAGCTTTGTTAAATTAAAAGCGGTAAACTAGTTATCAGAAAGTACCACTTTTGATTAGTGCTTACAAAATCAATTGTTTGTAATTCGACCATGTTTACCTTAATCAATATTTTGAATATCTGAAATCATAATCAATTTGAGGAGATTACTGTGCCCATTACATACGAAATGTGGGTGCTGTGATATAGCAGGACTTTAAGGGATCCACCCGAATGGAACGTGCTTCTGGATCACGCTCTTTTTTGCCAAAGCCAATAACCAATAACATCCCTTAAGATGTTATTTTAGTAGAAAAAAAAAAATATATATTCAATATCAAATACAGAAAATTCGCCCCGAATTTTACCAAAAATAATTTAATAAAACACGATTTTTTTGGGGGTGAGTTGGTGATTGTGTAATTTAATAAAACACATTTTCCTTAAAATTGGACACAAAAAAGTACACATAATATTTATTTAAAAAAGAAAAATACTTGTATCAATTTGATTGACAAACGGAAGTAATTTTTTTCTAAGGTGGACATCTGTAAACTTTACTTGAGCGCTTTTTTTATATAATTTTTAACTACCTTGTCATCTTAAAATTTTCCGAAAATATTCTCCGTAGTCTAGTGTTTTATTGAATTTTATGTAATTTGGTTTTAAATTTATTATAGTTATTGCTCTTATTTTCTGATAATTTCGTGCATTCCCATCCATATTTACAAAAATCGGAAAAAAAAAATTCAGAATCCCTTTTAAAATATTGGCATTCGAGGAATTGTACTAAGCTTTTTCCATAATGTTTTTTACTTAATAACAATATCTCATAATGGAGACAAAGTAATACAAAAATTTAAGATTTAAAACTTTATAAATTATTATAATTAAAATTTTTAAAAATGAAAACAATTCTCGTAAAAATTTGTTATTCATCGAAAAAAATTTTTTAAGACAGTAGTGTTCATATCTTTTTCATAAAAGCAATTAAAATCAGATTCTCTAATTAAATAATGTCTTAGTTTTATTGCATTTTTTATTTTACGATTCAACTTTTCAGGTGGTCCTGTTTTGCAAAAACAAATTGATTTAAAATCGAAAGAGTTCTGCTTTTAAACATTAAACGGGACGACATTTAAATTTCTCGAAATTTCATAAAATTAAATTGAGTTGGGTAACAAATGTTAAAAAAATTACCAAGATTTTCTAAAACAAAACATTTCTAAAATAATTTAATTAATTTGTGAATAAGTCCTGAAAGTTTCATTAAAATCCGACACTTATTTGATTTTTTACAAGAATTTCCAAATCAATGTGTTTTTCACTGCAGAAAAGACACTGAAATTTCTAATTAATCTTTGGTCTCCCCGCTAATGCCAAAAAAAGATTTTTAGCCAATATTTCGAACCTTCTAAAAAGGATAAAAAAATAATCAAAAAATTCATTTGGTCTTTCCTCTTAATAAGATAAATATTTTGACGATAAAACATTGTTTTTATTAAGTTTGAAACATTTTTTTCGTCGTTGTATGTTATCTTTTAGCGAATCAGTGGAGGTACTTAGTTTAATACCATTTTCCAGTTTCACCATCGTCGTGACCCACTCGCATCCGAGCATCGAAATCGTCATCCTCGATTCTTATTCTCGGTGGCGGAGATAGTTGTAAAGACCCAACCTATTCTTGAAGAGTCATGAGCAGGAGTCACCGAGGGGTGTGGGTGGCGGATGCGGCTGGGCGAGTCGGGCCCTCCTGAGAGTACGGCGTAGATCCTTTTGATTTTGACGGTTGAAATCGAAAATCTCGCCCCCCACCCTTTGGATGGTCCTAGGCCAGGAAGGTCGATTTGCAACAACGGTTTCTCAGGTCTCGGGGTCGATGTTGGCCTGTGTCAGGGATGTCTTGAAGGGTAGTTTTGGGTCTACTATTTTCGAGTGTGCACCTTTTTAAAAAAAATATTTTCTTTTAGTAACTGTTTTGTATGAATGTACAAAAGGGAAATAATTCTAAGTATTCTCTGTCTGCTCCATACGTTACTTTTTCAATGTTTGAATAGTTAGCTTCGGCTGACCTTAAAAAAACTACTGATACGGCTTACTTGCGTCTGTAGTTAGTGATTTCCTTTTTAGGACAATTTTTTACAAGTTTTTTGTTGCTGTTTTTAATAACGTTCGAAATTTCTGAAAACGTTCAATCCTCTAATAATTTGGGATACGCCATGACGGAGATTTTTCTAATGGCCTCACATCTTGTCGAAGCCCCAAAAAATCTGTAATCTCGTTTTCCCCTCCTACAAATTTTTTGCTTTGCCCCCGCCTGAGCCAAAAAACAGTGAATTCATCTTTCTACAAAGTCCAATGATATTAGAGATTCGATCGACAACGCCATGTTGTTGTTCTTCTTCTTGTCTTCCAGTGTGTAAGCTAATCTTCCTCAAAGTTTCAGAAAAGTATATTTTATTTTTGAAAATTTTTAAAGAATTACGTCGTGTCGAGAGAATTGTAAAGATGGCTAAAATCAACCATTTTTAACGTTTAAAATAAAACTACTTCCAATCAATTTAAATTCATTTCGAAATACAGTAAAGTATTTTGCTTATTGGAAATATTAAATTTAATCTATTAGCTTGAAATAAAAACTAAAATAAAAGCTTTAAAAAAGATTTCTCGTTTTTAAAATTAATATTAAACATTAGGTATCATTTTTCTTTGGATGTATTTAATCTTAATGTACTTTGTGGGGCGATGACAGAATTAAGCACCAAGACAATCAATCATCAAATGACAAAAAAAAATGATTTCTGTGTCGGAGGATCCGTGCATCCTTCCGGTTAATAAATTAATCCTTTGAAAATGAATATATACATTTTTCAACCAATGGGTCGCGTTCCCGCCAACAATAAAAAAAGATGCTTCGTGATCCGTTTGAAGAATATTTATGCAAAGCTTCTAGACCAAACAAGCCAGTAAGGAGATACATGTGACAACAACACGACGGCACGGCTTAAAGGAAATTCCCTTACTCATTCACCCATTTTCCTCAACATGCTACTTGACACGTACACTCTTCCTCACTAAGCTAAGTGACATTCAACACTCTTCCTCACAAAGTTACGTGGCACTTACACTCTTACTCATTAAGCTACGTAACACTTACACTTTCCTTCTCTCTTTCTCCCTTGCCGCGAAAAAATACATTTCTTTTCATTTTAACAGTTACAAACAAGGACTGTTAACAACTTTAACATTTATACACATTAGAAAAATTTAGTTGTAAAAACACGAAAATAAAAATATTTTATATTTTTATAATTAAAATCCTTTCTCGCCTTTTTCTTTGTTGTGCGTTGATTCAAATTCTCAACTTAACATAAACGCTTCTATAATAGACGATAATATCAAACGAAAATAAATGAAAATTTCTGTCACTTATTAATTTCAGTGTTAAAAAACAAAAAAATGGAATGTCAAATCAAACACGTGTATCCACAAAAAAAAAAAAACTTTTACAATACAAGTTTAGTATCATTTATCCGAAATTCCAAAATTCGAAAGTTTTTCAGACGCTGACATGATTTGCCACAAATGGAACATTTCAGAAAGCAACATGGCTACCCGTAGCATGATTAATGCGTTTCAACGTTACAAATAAAATTTTGACTTTTTTCAGTTTTCATTACATTTAACCCTAATCCTAATCCATATTTTGTTATTATACAAATACTGTATGTACGTCAAATCTTAATTTCACTATTTAAAAATCTGTTTAAGTATTACATGACTAGCGTCTTTAACTGTACCTGTACACAAAATTTATTAAATTTTATATAAAACTACTTTAAGGGTATGTTTTTTTTATATATAAAACTACTTTCCGGGTATATGTTATTTATATAAAACTAGCTTCAGGGCATATGTATAAGTTGCGTTATGAAATGTAAAGGGATATCATGTTTATTGCTGGTTTTCCATTTAGAAGCTATATACAAATTAAATAGCCTGTATTCCAAAATCCGGAAAAAAAAACCCAAAAAAAACCGAAGTACTTCCAGTCCCAAAAATTTCGGATAAAGGATTTTCAACTGGTAATAAGAAATAATATTGCATTTTAAATCCATTTAAAAATTTCTGCTTACTTTTCGGGTACGAAAATGAAGGTAGCAGATATAGATTCGAACAAGTCATAAAAAGATGTACTCTCCTTATGTAGATAATTGAGGTTCACTTTGTCATGACAGTCTCCTGTGGCCAAATTAGTAACGGTCCGCTTCAGCTATAAGAGTGGTTTCCCTGATAGAAAAAGTCTATACAGGTTCGATTCTTGTTGGGAGGTACAGTTTTTCTTTCGTGAGATCTAGGCCGGTTGATATTAATTTGACTTAAAAGAAAAAATAGAGAAAACTGGGATGTCAACTCAAATACGTGTATCTATTAAAAATAACGTTTGTTGTAATAAATAATGTTCGGGAATTGTGTCAAAACTTCCCTGCACGATCTCGAACAGATGTGAAAAAATTTGTTTCCTCCAAAGTTTTTAATGCCTCGTTGTAAATGGCAGAACATACGCGACATTCACTTAAGAGTGAATTCACAACGAATTATTTAAATTAACGTTGCACTGGGAATTCATTAAAGCTTCTTTGGTCCAAACTTCATTGACATGTTTAGCCGTTTGTACTGCAATGGTGCCGAGTTTGAACTATTGGGACTGCGAAAATAGACAAATAAAATAATTTTTCAAATTCGCTCTACAACTATTTCATAAAGTCTACACATAAAAAGTATGTTTGGTGTCACCACCATGCGGACATAACAGTAAGCGCACCACATGATTTTCTTAACCAATGGGAACTTAACCAAAATATTACATTTTGGCTTTCGTTTGATGCCTATCTTCGGCCTATAGATGAACGGAGCAGACGCACACAGCGAGTTCACTTACTCACACCACACCGAAAAAAGCCTTATTCGGCCTACATGCCATACTGTAAGATCGACTCAAGCGAGATAAAATACTTACATGAACACCAAACTACGTCAACCGCAAAAAGAAACATCCTAAGTCAGTTACTTCTGCGCACGCGCGCGCGCGCACACACACACACACACACACACATGCGCGCGAATATATATAAGTGGACCTTGAAGTCAAAACCCACAGGGACAGTCTGTTTCATGCGAAACGCAATCGTCAGACCGGTAAAAATTTTACGGAAATACATTCTCATCTATACACACACACACACACACACACATACATAGACCCCCCCACCCCGCAAACAATCAGCTGTAATCCATAAAACAAAACACGGAAATAAACTTAGTCATTATCCTGTTTTGACATATTAACTTCGAAGGTCTGAAAATTGACAAAAAATGCGAGTTATATTAAAAACGGATTAAATAGAAAGAAAAGTATAAAATCAGATTTCAAATGATACAGAATTTTAGGCAACTTGTGTGTTTTATTAAAAATGCTGACTGAAATAAAAAAAAAATGAAATCTTACATTAATTTCTAAACAACCTAATATTTTGTGAATGTTTCCAGATTTGTCTCGTTTCCTGAATGTTTGGACAAAAAACAAAAACAGTCATACAAATTGTTTTAACTTTTCTCATATTGTCTGCCATTTCCAAGGACCGCATATACGAAACGTTGCAGATTTGATATTTGCAAACGATTTATATAGTACTTAATGGGCACTACTGCTAAGCAAATCTTGTATCCTTTTGTTAAAATATTTAGGTTACTTTATTAAAATACTTTGGGGAAATATTTTGGGGTTATATTTCACCTCCACTTATCGATATCTCGTGTGTACTATTTAATTTTTTTTTTTTTTTTTTTGGCGGAGGGGGGGGGAGCTTCCAATGTTTTTTCACAGTACAGCGACCGTCCAGTATTTTAAAAAAAAAGACATATTTTTTTCATCTATAAATGTGCCGATTTTTGTAAGTACGGATATCCATACACATCAGAAAATAAGAACGGTGACTATAATAAATAAATTTTATTGGCATATTTCTAACATTTCCACAACAAGCGTCTTTGTTTCGCCAAAGTACTTGAAATCCAATAAAATATTAGATTACTTAGAATATTTCCCTAAATAAAGATTACTGCGTAGTTAAAAAAAAATTATCTAAAGGTGTTTACGTTGTATTCATATCATTTTTTCAGTATCTCCCCTCCACTTACCTAAATTTCGTAATCGTCTGTTTATTGATAACTGTTTCAATACCTCATAAAATCAACCATCTCCGGGTTAAATGCTTTTTTGCAATATTAACTGAAAGTAATGTTTTAATTCAGATTAAACTTTAAATCAGTTAATTTTTCTCAAATAAAGTTTCAGAAAAGTATTTTTGAAACATTTCTTTAAATAGAATTATACGGTGTTGACAGATTTGTCAGTATGGCCGATTTTAGAGATTTAAAAACATTCCAATAATTTAAATTCGGTTTGAAATACAGCAAAATATATTGTTTATTGGAAATATTAAATTTAATCAATTAGCTTTTAATTAAAACTAAAATAAAAGCATCAAGATTTTTTACTTTTAAAATGAATTTTTTAATCCGTAGGCATCGCTTCTTTTTTTTTCTTTTTTGTGGGGGCTATTTTAGGTCATTGTCTTTTCAGTTAGTACCAAAATTTAAATTATTTAAAATAATTTCTCGCTTTTTTTTTTTTTAAGTCCGTGGGAGTACCTATTTTTTTTTTTTTAATGATAGCACATTGGATTTTCAAATGTTGCTTAATTTTGTAATTTACGCTTGGATGATCATTAAATTCGAAAATTTAATGACCAATAAAATTTACAATATAAAATCTTCCGACCAAACCAAATAGAACTATAGTGAACGGTTTAGCGGTGATTACTTGTCTGTAATAACCCGGTCATCTCTTGATGAAAAGGAATATTGATAGAAAATTTCGTGAGTCTTGTTTGGAATGAATATCGCTTACTTAAATGGAAAACGCAAAAATTAAGAGTCGCAGCTGTATAATAATAAAAGATAAACCCAACTTTCCCCACCCGTCCTTTTCAATCACCTGTGCGATTTCATTGGCGTCTATTTACGCTTGTTTTTCTTCCATATTTTTGAACGCAGATCGCGTATTCTGTCCTTTTATTGCACGCGCATCATAAACAAATGAGGCGTGATTTGCTTTATAATCCTTCGATAAAAACTGCGTATTATATAATTGCATTTCAAATTAAGTTATTGTTGTTTTTATTATTTAACCATTCATCTTTCTTTTCACTCTACATTCTTACTTTCTTTTATTCGTTTTCCTTTCTTTGTGTGTTTTTTCACTACGCGTTCTTTCTTTGTTCACTGTTTCTTTCCCTTTTTTTTAACATTTCTTTTCACTGCATGATCTTTTTTATTTGCACGTTCCTTCCGTTTCTTTGTGCCTTTTTACTTTTATATTATTCGTTCTTTTCTTTTTGAGCATTCCTTTCACATTTTCTTTGTACGTTTTTTTTCTATTCATTTCTTTCTATATACGTTCTTTTCTTCTTTTTTTCTTTCTCTGTGCGTTTCTTTTCTTTCTATATACCTTATCTCCACAGGCATTTCTTTTCTTTTTTTTCTACCTTTCTTTCTTTCTTTCTTTCTTTTTTTTTTCTTTTTGTACGTTTTCTTTTCACTCTCTGAGCGTTTCTTTTATTTTCTATTCTTTGTATATTTTTCTTTTTTCTGGGTTCCTTTCTTTACTTTTTCTTTCTCCAAGCGTTCTTTTCCTTTCTTTCTTTGCACATTTCTTTCTCTTCTCCTCGAAGTTTTTTCTTTCCTTGTACGTTTCGTACTTTTCTTTACTTTCTGTGTGCGTTTTTTTATTTTTCTTCATAAGCTTCTTTCTTTAATCTACTTCTTCCATTGTTTTTACTTCTCTCTCAAATATTTTTCTTAACTTCCTATTTTTCTAATTAAATCACCAAATTCTCTAAACTTCTTTCTTTATATCCCTGCTTTCCTCTCTAAACCATTCACTTTTTTTTTGCATACTGTTTTTATTATTTCCACGTATTGTAATAAACTGAAATAATTCTCTTCCTTCCCCACACTCATTCAAAGAAAATTTATTAAGGCACACAGTTAATGTTGTTCTTGTTTTTTTGTTTTGTTTTTTTTTTAGAAAAGGGTTATGGTTAAAGTGCCTTGTATACTAGTTTAAGGAAGATTCTGCCGGTGATGCGCCCGACGTTACTATTGAAAGTTGGGTTCAAACCACCTTTCAGTCATAACGTAATATATATATATATATATATATATATATATATATATATATAATTTTTTTTTAATATGATTTTCCATGATATTGAACCCACCTTTCAATAGTAACGTCGGGCCCAACATCGGCAGAATCTTCCTTAAACTAGTATACAAGGCACTTTAACCATAACTCTTTTCTCAAAAAAATATACAACAAGAACAACATTAAGGTTAGTTAGAGCTGCACTAGAAACCTTGATCAATATATAGCCCAGAACAATAGTGTAACCCTTAATAAATACTTAAGCAAAAATAATTACAACGGTAGCTATGATGATCAAAAATGCAATTTCCGAAAAGAGAACATCTGTCCTTTGAATGTGTGTAGAAAGGAGTTATTTATAAGTCCAGCATCAAGCATAATGACCAAATTATATTTTATTTCGGGTCAACTGCTAATAATTGGAAAAAAAAGGTTTTATCATCATAAAATGACACTTAACAACAAAAATAGGCAAATGCCACAACACACTTGGGGTACCAAAACAGACAGCTACACACCCGCAGTGAATTAGGAATCGGTCGCTAAAATCTATCCATTCCCGGGCGGGGGGACACGTGCAATCTATGTTTATACAAAAAATTATTCATCCTATTAATAATCCACATCTACTCAATAAACAGAATGAGTGTATGTCTACGTGTATGCATAAAAAATATTGTAATCTTGGTTAATCCAATTTTCGTCTAAATTTAATTTCAAATTTTAATTTTCCGCCCACTCTTATTTTAGGTCATACACTGTTACCTCCCTTTAACCAGTCAAACGTATTTTACGAACAACGGCAATCGTACAAATTTTAAGCGTACTTCAATTCCTTTTTTCTTTTTCTTTTTTTTTTTTTATTATTGACTCATAACTACAGCTCATTTCCTGCACTTAAACCCCGGTATTATTTTAGCACTATTTTTGTACTATTTCAATTCTGGACTATGAATCAGCGTCCACCCCATGAGCATCTGTAAACTTTTTTTTAAAATAAACTATACGCTATATCTTGTGCCTGACGAGTTGGGTAACCAGCGAAACTCGAGTCGCACACCAAACGTAGATATATGTGTATTTGTTGATATATATTTCTTTGCTCTGTCTATTCACATTGAGCACTATTAGTCTACAATTCTTGGCTAAATTTGGTAATTATTTATTTGCTTACCAACTTATGCGCGCCAGCACGCGCGTATACGGTCGCTAATATCTAGCTATTTCATTTACATAACCCTATATATATATATATATATATATATATATATATATATATATATATATATATATATACTCTTTCGGTTTATAGATTTCTAGGTTTTCTTCTTTTATGTGTCGTGTATCTTCAGGACGTAGGCAATCATGGCCCTCCACATCTTTCTGTCCCTTGTAACTATTAATAAGTTTTGTCTTTTTGTTATTTATCTCAAACCCTTTTCTACCATCCATTTACTCAAGCTCATCATGTTGTATGTTACGTGCTGCTTTCCTCTGTCCTATGAGTATCAGATTTTCCAAGCTCTCCTCCTCAACTGCCTTCTGCTGATGCTAAGTCTGACATTTGCCTTGATATAGCCCATCATAGGACGAAACGCGTCGGTAAAGGAAAGTATTCCTTTTTATCTTGTATATCATTATTTAGCAAAAGCCTTACGAGTAGACTTCCGAGGAGAATGCAGGACCTGAGATTTAATCTAGTTAGCTTAGCTATATTGACTTAACGCTCCTTTAAAGAACAGTTCAGCCATCTGACAAGAAAACCGATCTTTTGGAATTTACTTCTATCGTTTCACATCGTGAGACATGATAAATGATTTCCAATTTTCTTTCTAGCTGTCACCGCCTTAGCTCCCAGACGGCATCCATAGGGTTCCACTTACAACAACCATATGAAGACACTTTTCTTGGTATTTCTAGTTCTACTGTAAATTCCAAAGCGACAACTTATCTAACACTGTAAACTCATGTAGGCCTTCACTAAAAAACACAAGTAAATCAATTTATTTAGTTGGCTTTACAACACGAAATTGTAATTATTTACAGTTTTAATGCGACGGCTGTAATTGGTTGGGGGATATCAGATTATCAACATCAGGCTGGAAGAATTCTTTGATCCAGATGTTCAGTAATTTTCAGTCTTTGCTTGGAAAGAATATAGTTAACGGCATTAAAACATTACTCTACTAAATATGGTTTTGAGTAGGTAAGATATATTCTGATTTTATTCTACAGTGCAAGCTAACGGTCAGATCTTTTTTTAACATTGGCCTTAGCTCAATATCATTTTGGATAAGACAGATTGAAGACCAGCCTTCCTCTATCCTCACTTTTAACCTTGTGCCACAGTTTCGTATTTTTCAAAATGGTACATGGACTTTATGAATTTAAATGCAGTACTAGATTAACGGCAGTGTCTCATCCTTTTACCGTTGAAATAGATTTAACCGGAAGTTCTATGCTAACAGCTTTCTCTCTCGCACTTCTCGTTTGTGGAACTCTCTTCCGACTTCTTGCTTTCAGTCTTCAAAAATGTTATGCAATGTTAATCGTTATTGTCTATCTTAAATAATGTTCTTTTATTTTTCGCTCATTTCTTTTTCTCATATTCTCTCAAACTCATTAACCCCTTGAAACTTAGTAGCTTTATTGTTTTCCTTGGATTGAAAAAATTAAAAAAAAATAATAAGTAACGTTTTCCTTGATATTACTTAGTTCATCATCAAAGATAACAGAGTCTTGGAAGAATTCAGCAACTGTTAAAAAAGGGAGTAGAAACATCCCAGATTTTGATAGTCATCTGATTTTTGTATGCAACAACATTCAAAATCATTTTTAGTACAGAGCTGTCAAGAATTGAAAGAATGTGACTCGATTTTATTTACTGCGATAAGAAGTGCTCAATGAACGGGAAATCAACCACTTTCCCGACCAGATGTTGCCTATGGATTACAATGCGCCGTAAATACAAAAGGTCCGGCGTTTTTTTTTCAAGAAATTGATAAAGCCTCACTGGCAGACTATCATTGATTGTACCCCATCTGTGGCACAAGCAAGAATATTGGTAATGTATTTCTTTGAAAATTCTCAGCAACTGGGTCACCCTTTCGTGCTTATTTCTCGTTGACTTGCAAGTTCTTGAAGCAAACTTTCATCTTTAACTAAACGACCATAAGCCAGTGTAAAGCTTTAGAGTAGATTCCTCGAATTGCAATCTAAATTCTCTTATCCTCAGCATGTTTTAGCCATTTCATCAACTCTTCTTTGAACAGAATTATCGCTGAAAGGAACAGATTTAATTTGTTCGGGTAACTTGTGTAAAAGCGTGTGCAGACCTTCTCTTACTGTTGGCGGAATAAACTCTTCTCTAATTGTATAAGGCTTACTAAATCTAGCAATCTGCAATGAGATGTTGTATGATGTACACAAAACCATCACTGGATCGGTGTGGTTTTTCCTAGAAGTGCATGAAAACATGCCACTTTTTGTTTACATCTTTGGGGTGTACTTTCTTCAAATGTTCAATAAGTTCTGAAGATTTCATGCCTTCATTTATAGAATGCATATTGGTTTCTGTTGTCTGATGCTGATACACATTCCTGTGTAGGTGTAACATTTTTCAACACTCATTGTTAAAAAGCGTAATTAAAAACGAATGTTCTTAAGACTTCTCTTAATTTTACAGGATAGAAAAACTGGAATCTTTATCTAAAAAGTCCCTCAGAAGGACCATGCTTAAATAGTCTATATATGAAAAAAAAAAAAAAAAAAAAAACACATACACACAGTGTGATGAGAAAATATCCAGGTCTTAAATAAAAATGATTTTATCGTCAAAATATTTGTCATGAAGATAGACTGGAGAATTTGATGTGAAAATCATTTATTTAGCACATGTGTTACGCTCTACCGTTACTTCAGGTAAATAATGGACCATTCAGTTTTTAATTGTAAGGAAAAATGGAAGAAAGTTATATCAAAGTCGGTTTTTGCTTTTAGTGAGAAAAAAGCATCTATAATAAAGAGAAGACAGGAGACAATAACGGTTTCATATATTTAATGCCCGCCTCAGTGAAATAGAAAATCATGTCAATTTTTCATTTTTTTTACCCTCTACTTCAAATAGGGACCTGTATTCATACTTATGATTCCCATTGGAATAATTTAAAGTTAAACTCAAATATTTATCAATGCATTTACCATTGTTATTTCAACTCGCAAGCCACTTATTCAATCATTACTTTAATTAATTTTTGATTCATCCAAAGACCAACTCCGATCATACATATATAGAAACTATAATTTCTATATGTCCAAAAATCAGTATAAGAACTCTTTAATATTTTTGTTTATTTCATGGATACAAAGTATCGGTGTATTTACAAATGAAAGACCATGTTTTTGTTAATTATTGATCATAATTTGCTTACCTGCTGAAAGCCATGATTTGTTTTTTCTTAAATCTGATATATATATATATATATATATATATATATATATATATATATATATAGATAGATAGATAGATAGATAGATAGATAGATAGATAGAGAAAGAGAGAGAGAGGCGGGGGGAGAGATGTACAGATATGTTCGGTGAAGATAATAACTTTTCCCTTTCTGTTCATTATGCTATCAATCTTCTTTCATATTTTT